TCAGAAAAGAAGACACAGGTACTGACCATGTCAAAGACAGCTTCTTTTTCTTAAGGTAGTAGAAATTAATAGGAGGGACTTATTTTTTAAATGTCTAAATAACAATTATATATAGGAAATAAAAAAATTTCTCTATAAATTTCTGTATTACACACATCCTCAGAAAACTACAGAATTTTAAAGAATGTCCAGATAGTTACCCTTCCCTACATGTTTTTAATTCTTCTTCCCACTGAATAAAAATGTCAAGTATAGATGACAAATGTTTAAACTGTTAAAAAATCACTCCGTTGTGATAGAAATTTCAACTGATATACAGTAATTTATATTTAAAGTTACTGCATTCGATATTTTAAAGTTATTTAAGGAGAAGTTGACCACCAAAACAAACCATTTCTGACATGTATGGACTCTGACACGTATGAAATCAATCTCCCATGCATTTTCTGTAAAAATTTTTGGAAAATGTACACCAGCCAACAATGAAAAAGGAAAGTAAAGTAGAGGGCATCAAAGAATCTAAGAAAGAATAGAACTAATAACCCAGAAAGGCAATGAACTAATAACCCAGAAAGGCAATGAAAAGAAACCCCATGATAATAGCTATGCAGCAGGCTCAAGGGTACAGCCTGTCTAAAACCAGTCATTCGATAAACAGTATGATAAATGAAGTGAATGATAGTTACATAAATACTGTAAATGTTATTTATTAGTTTTCAACTTTCAGATTCAAGAGACAAAACATGAAAAACAGTTATGGTTAAAGAACAGAACCTATGCATTACAAATGTTTACACTGTAGAACTCATAGTGTAGCTGAGGGAAGCTGGGTTGTAAGGGGCAGAGAAGGAAAGAAGTACAGAAACCTGAATGCCCTGGTTTTACACTGGGCAGCCACGAGTTACCGCTCAAAATTAATGAAGCAATAAATACAGCTCAAAGTGTAATACCTAGAGTTATTAAGATAACAGAAGAAGAAATATGGTAAGAAAATTGAGAGATGTATAAGATGTTAAATTCCTAATCTTTGAAAGCAGCAACTTAAAGTTAACAGGGAAAAGAAACAGAGGTGTGAGCACACTGATTACAGAACAGAAGCAACCACTTGAGAACTAAAAACATATGGGGAAGAAGATATGAGAAGTAAGACTAGGGGGCTGGGGATGAAAAAGTAGGAAGGAGAACATTACTTTTCATTTTATATATGCTTTTTATACTTCTGAGTTTTTATTTCCAAATATATGACTATTTTTTATAATTAAAAAAATGCCATCCAAAGTCTTCTGTTTGTGATTTCAGAAGGTACACGTGGGAGGGACACAATAAAACGTTTAAAAGTTGCTTGGTTTCAGATTAAATACTGTTGATTAATTTTTAAAGATTTATAGTAGATAGAGAATAGCACCAAACTTTTCATAGAAACTAATTTTGTAAAATTTCCTTCACACATTTAGGAAGCTTTCAACCCCTGTGATTAGTGAGCATCTTTCAGTTCTCATCCCCTCCAATTCCCCCCTTTACAGGTGCTAATGAAAACACAAACAACACACCAGGCTAAGTAGTGAAGAAAAAAAGTAAGGTTAGGAATGATTTCTGTCCATTAATATTTGCTTGAGCAGCAGGACAACAGAAACTCTGTCTTTTGTCTGAAATCGTTTCAGAGGAGAGCTGGATGATGTTAGATATGATAAATATAAACCAAACTTCAGTTTCAATGAAAAATAAAAGCTGCTACATAGGGTTACCTAGTATTCCATGATTTAGGATTAAAAAAAAAAATTTATACTGCAGACTCCCCAGCCTTTCAATTTGCGCCTACATCTATTCTTTTTCTTGGGTCTCTATCAAATAAAAGAGGAGAGTAGAAACGTGGAATATGTGGAGTATGTACAGTAACATGGAGGTAAAAGAAATGAGAAGTCACAAAAGAAAACACTTATAACTCTTAAAACTACAGAATTTATCTTACAAAATCTAGATATATAAGAGTACTTAAGTATTGGAACTACTCAGTGTAAATAATATGCAAATATCCTTAAATAATCCATTTTCCCCTGTATACCTTATTCATTCTGGAAATAAACACAAAGCACAATGTCAGCTACCATTTCAGAGCAAAATATGTCAATAATTACTCATCTAGTCTTTTAAGATTTAAAAAAGTTATTATAAAGAAGCACTGCTGTATTTCTTAAGATGAAGATAATGTATGTGTTCCCTTTTAGTGTAATGGAAAAAAAAGTACTTTTTGCCTTTCAAAACAATAATTTTAATTATTCTAGTCTGATAATTTCATCTCAACCAAAATAAGCTTCAATATTTCTGCATGTCATGGTTTCAGTATTTCTGCATGTCTCTCTGTATAAGCATACACAACAAGAATTTAGAAGAGGATGCCCAAAGTGCAAGCCGTCTCCATTTGGGGTATAAACAGAAAAAAAAGTGAAAATACAGTTATATTTTTTCATTCTAACCCTTAGGAAACTGTAGGAGTAAGGTACTTTATACTGTGTAATCTGGTTTCAATACTGCTAGTTACAAATACTGTAAATTACACAAATATGAATTGTGCAGTATAGCATGGTAGATGGGACAATGGACTTTCTCATCAGACTGAAATGAGTTCAAATCATGGTTCCACTATTTACTAAATGTGCAAACTTAGACAAGTTATTTATTTATTTATTTTAAAATTTATTTATTTTTGGCTGCGTTGGGTCTTCGTTGCTGCACAGGCTTTCTCTGGTTGCGGCGAGCGGGGGCTACTCTTCTTCGCGGTGCGCGGGCTTCTCATGGTGGTGGTTTCTCTTCTTGCGGAGCACAGGCTCTGGGCGCGCGGGCTTCAGTAGTCATGTCTCGCGGGCTCTAGAGCGCAGGCTCAGTTAGTTGTGGCGCACGGGCTTAGCTGCTCCGCGGCACATGGGATCTTCCCGGACCAGGGATCGAACCCGTGTCCCCTGCACTGGCAGGTGGATTCTTAACCAGTGTGCCACCAGGGAAGTCCCTAGGCAATTTATTTAAATCCTTTGAGATTCTTCTAAATTAAGAATAATAATATGTACTAGGACAGGCACCAGTGTTTGACATATGTTAGGGAATTTGAGGTGTTAAATCACATCTCCAACAGTACTGAGCTAAAGACTACTTTCCTTAGACTCTCAGCCTCTCCAGTTTAAAGGGACATCCCTCAGTAGAGTTTCGTGACTTTAGTGTGCCACATCACAAACGAATTAGTTGAACAGTTTGCTTTTGCTGGCTGTTGTATCATTATATTATCAGTTCTCATCTGAGGAGCAGCTTATGTATTAAAAAACTTTTAAATTGGGTATTGATTTACTCCTGCTACATATGTATACATATATACACGCATACATATATATGTGAGAAATACAATAATAAAGAAATCCAGTGCAAAGTAATGAAATAGATAAGAAAAATATATGGTTTATGGGCTTGAGTCTCATATTTTAATTGTAGTTTTCATGTTTTAGTTTTGACCTTGAGGTTATATGTACTTCACCCGATCAGACCCTTCCCTTTCTCAATTACAAGCAAGAATGGCATAAAATCTCTCTTGTTGTTCCATGTGCAAGAAAAGTTTTTTGTTTTTTTGTTTTTTTTAAGAAAACACTTCCTTTATTAAATGCAGCTATGCTTACATTTTGGTGCATTTCAAAAAGCAGTGTTGATCAGTGGTAATGCTTATGGTAAATTGAGCATACACAATTATAATGGAAAAAAATCCCTAAGAACAGCTTTTACACATCCCTCTTGCTAGTGCAGCTCTGTGTAAAAACTAGAAAGTCTGCAAAGTATGTTTTCTGCATCAGGAGTTTCCCTCTCTGTACTTCTCCTTCCTGCTCCATGGTGAAGAAAAGGTTTTAAATGCACATAAATTAAGACAGTTTAAAAAGTAAGTGTTAATGAGTTTCAGTCAATTCAGAAATGGTGTATTTTCAAATTGAGATAAGAACTGAGGTCTAGAAAAGACCAGGATCCCAAATAAGGATGCAACTGAAAGGAAAAAGGTTAGAAAACTAGGGGAAAAAATTGGTCAGAGAATAATAATAGTGGCCATATACCCAACACTTCATATGACAGCCAGATGCTTAAGTAAATCATCTCTTATACTGCCAACAAGCTCACAAGTAGGTATAATTACCTACATTATTAGATGAGCAAACTGAAATTCAGAAAGGCTAAATGATCTATCCAAAGTCACTCAAGTAGAAAGTAGCACAGCCAGAACGCAAACTGAAGTCTGTCCGACACCAAAGAAAGTTAACTCTTTATCATACCAAACTTCTGGAACTTAAATTTCTGGGACATCAAAATTTTGTTAGAGGGCCATTATCTTTCCCTTCACCTGTACAAGACAGAACAAAAACTAGGTATAAAACCAGCTTATGGGGCTTCCCTGGTTGGGCAGTGGTTGAGAGTCCGCCTGCCGATGCAGGGGACACGGCTTCGTGCCCCGGTCCGGGAAGATCCCACATGCCGCGGAGCGGCTGGGCCCGTGAGCCATGGCCGCTGAACCTGCACGTCCGGAGCCTGTGCTCCGCAAGGTAAGAGGCCACAACAGTGAGAGGCCCGCGTACCGCAAAGACAGCTTATGTCTTTGATGAACACTCCCCTTTTTGTTTTCTTATTTTTCCTGTTACTCAAATGAATAAAAGAGAGACTTAAGAAAGAAAAGAATGAAGGGCGGGAGGGAAGGAGGTGAGGGGGAAGGGAACCCATAGATTGTACTTTCTTAATCTGAAGTATCGTCTGTCTGTCTGCACTCCTTTTCGTTCTCTTGCTCCTCCCAGCAGTACGACATAACTCAGACACAATCATATTGAATTGCCCTTTATAGTCCATGGAGAGAGAATTAGAAAACAAAACGTATAAGTTTAACTCCCAAAATATACACTGTGTTCTACATGAGCCTCTTTTAAATTCTAAGAATTCCAATGACACACTGATTTACTTCTGTTTCTGGAAAGTTACAGACTTACCATGAAACTTCGAGGCTTCAGGATCATTCACATTGATAGCAATTAATTTCCAATCTGTTTCACCCTGATCAATAAGAGCCAAAATTCCAAGGATCTTCACGTGAACAACATCTCCACGAGAAAGAACCTTTAAAGAGAAAAGAAATTCAGCATTTGCCAGGCTTTGGAGAAATTTACTCATATAAAAATCTATATGAAAGATTAAAAGCACTATAGACTGAAACTTAATAATTAAAATTATTGTAAACACAGTCCTAAAGCCTTTTATGATATCCTTCTTAGAATAGATGTCTTGATCCCTTTCTGGAAACTGAAATTATTTATAGATCTTAAAATTTAATGTACTAGGCCTAGAAACTCATACTAATAAGCAGAAAATAAAGTCATGTATATCATGTTATAATATAAATCTGGCTTCTGCTGCTTGGGGGTAAAAAGACATGAGAATCCTTTGAAACTTGGGGGTAAAAAGACATGAGAATCCTTTGAAACTTGGGGGTAAAAAGACATGAGAATCCTTTGAAACTGCTTTATAGTACCTTCTTTGCAAACTATATTTATCAGTTACTAGTGAAAAGTAAATTTTTATCATATCTGAATACAGCCTTAAGATAATGAATGACAATGAAAGAATTATTAAAATGTTAAAGACAGAGACAAAGCAGGTTTCATAAAATGCTTTAAAAAGATTTTAAGTGAAACCAAGAAACAGCATGATGTTGAAGCAGATGTTCCTTGTACTAAAGAAAGTTATTTCAGTGGTTCCCTCAAGTTGCCAATGCCAAGTTTATATGCATGCATTCTTTCTATAGCCTTTTATTTTTAAAGGTTTAGTCGGCTATAGAATTTCACTGTAAGCTGAAATCTGAACATATGCTTCAGAATAATTCCTTCATGTTTCAAAATTCAGCTTTACATCTGGAAATCAAGGTATGCAAAGGAAAGTCACTGTTGTATCTTGAAATTATTTGAGAGAAAAAAACAGATCTTAAACCAAAAAGTCAAATAAATCCTTTCAGAACATTTGCAAAATGAATCTGAAATCTTAATATAAATCTGCATGAAAGTGAAATTAGTTTATCCAACAGATTAATGTGACTGTATAAACTAAACTGAAATACCACTTTTAGGAGAATATGCACAATTATATTAGCCAGACTCTCACATGTTTGGGCTCTATTTAGTGCCCAGCACTATATTAGACACTATGTATACAAAAAGAAAGCATCCCCTTTCTTAAAGGTTTACAATCTTGTTGGGGAGACTTACACACCTCATGCCAGGAGGTCCTTTATAAAACAAAAATGTTCAAAGTTATCACATAATCATCAATGAAAGGTGGCTCCATTGGTTAACTCAGTGATGAACTGCATCCCTGCTTCTCAGCCAGAGGCAATTTTGCCCTCTAGAGGACATGTGGCAATGCTGGGGACATTTGGGGTTGTCACAACTGGGGGGGTATTATTAGCACATTAGCGGGGAAGAGGCCAGGGATGCTGCACAGGACAGTCTCCTATTACAGTATCATCCACCCAAAATGTCAATAGTGCCAAAGCTGAGGAGCCTGCAGCAGACTTTGGTGACAGGGGTGTCTATCAGAATTACTGGGAATCATATATAGTTTTTAAAGGCACCTTCTAAATTGTTTTATTTTTATTCACAAGAATTAATTTACTTTGAAATTTCATACAACATAAGAGCAGATTTGAGACTTTTATGGTTACAAGGGCAAGCAGGAAGCATGTCTGGGAATTACCAAGTTTCATCAGAATGATAAATGCCCTCTGATCTCATAAGCAACAGAAAGGGATTAGACAAACCACTGCCTTGCAATAACACTTTAAAAACTGGAAAGGAAATTCTCTCAATCAAACCAAAAACTCAGGATAAGATGCTTAAAAACAGATGGTAAAATTCTTCTGAATACCCCACAATTCAATTCAGTCTAAAGCAATTCAACAAATTTTGCAGAACACATAATGTTAGATACCAAATGAATTAACACTTCTCAAAGAACTTAACTTAAAAATTTCTGTATCTGTGATTCTAAGTCTATTAACAACTTCCAGGACTCTGCCCCTTTTCCTTTGTCCATTTACATATGTGGTGTTAAAAGAGGCTTTCTTCTATGATGTTCCTTATAGATGATTTAAGGACTAGCCGAGGCATAGCCCGAAGCAAGATAAAGGAGCTGTAGTCCCAACAAAGGCCTATTGTTTAGATGGCAATTAAGTACTTACTTCATGTTTACTAAATATTTTTTCGGGCCTCATTAACTAAAAGAATAAATTGCTTTGGATATAAGATAAATCCTATTGCCTCAGTTCCATTATAAAACTCTCCATCTACCCTGCGAGGAAATTAATGTACACAGAAGATTCTGTTACTAATTCCTTGGGAATCATACAGTTGACCATGTTTCAAAAATGAGTCGACACTATGAAACAAGAATGTAGGTATGCCTCAAAGATTTCAGGCAGAATCAGACTAGGGTTATTACAGACTTTTCTAGCTATTATAAAAATACTTCAAAAGACAGGATTTTTAAGTCACAAATATACGGGGTCAAATTCTTCCTCCACCACTCCTAGAGGTGACTGAGGCCAACTACTTCACACAATATTTTAGGACTTGGTTTCTCCACAGTAAAATGGAGATCACATGACTTACTCCTTGATGTAAAGATAAAGAGCAAAGGAGACAACAGATGCATGAACTAGAACACAAGAGGTCTTCCACAGATATTAATATTTTTTCTCTCTGGGCTCTACCTGTACTTATCTGCTCACACTTGTCAACTGCTAACTCCTGGGAACCTGGAATGGGCAGAATGTAATAGTGGTCTACAACAAAACTTCTGTGCTGATTTAGAATTTGAAGAATGAGGGGTAAAACTTCAACTGGACCCAATCAATATAAAAAACTATGGAAAGTAAAACTGCTTAAAGCCTGTTATCCTGTGTATTAGGTTTTTCCTGTAGTGTAACAAGTTATTATAAATCAAAAGGCTTAAAACAGTGTACATTATCTCACAGTTTCCATGGGTCAGGAGTTTAGGCACAACACAGCTAGATTCTCTGCTCATGGCCTGAGAAGGCCAAAATCAAGGTGTTGGCCAGGCTAGGCTCTGATCTGAAGGTTCTAAGAAAGAACCCATTTAAATGCAATTCTTTGCAATTGTAGGACTGAGGTCCCCCTAAATTTGCTGGTTGTCAACCAGGGACTGCTCTCTGCATACAAAAGTATGCTTTCAAGATTAATGATGTATACCTTGTTACAAAGCACTTACATTTACAACCTTTAATTTTATTCCACATATTTAGTGACTTTGATACGTTTATTTAAAAGCCTATATATCAAGTTTTCTTAGATTTCCTTGTTTTGTCAATAATGACTTAGTGTTACTAAGTCAAATCAGTTTATCAGGTACTGAGATTTTCATGATTTCCAGTTACCAATCTCATTAATTACGTGCTCACTGACAAGTTTTTACATCAGTGAAAATAAGATACTTTCATCTAATCTTTTTGCTTACACTTAATATCTGCACAAGGATTTAAATTAACTTAATAATCTGCACTTAATATAAACTGAGTGGCCCCAAGGATTACATCTTCAGAGTAAGAGTTTTCTAAGGAAACTTCTTACATTGTTGGTGGGAATGTTCATTGATGCAGCTACTATGGAAAACAGTACACCAGTTCCTCAAAAAGCTAAAAATAGAGTTGCCACATGATCCAGCAATCCCACTCCTGGGCATATACCCAGACGAAACTGTAATTTCCAAAAGATACATGCACCCTTATGTTCATGGCAGCACTATTTACAATAGCCAAGACATGGAAGCAACCAAAATGTCTACTGACAGATGAATGCATAAAGAAGATGTGGCACATATATACAATGGAATATTACTCAGCCATAAAAAAAGAACAAAATAATGCCATTTGCAACAACATGGATGGACTTAGAGATTATCATACTAAATGAAGTAAGTCAGAAAGAGAAAGACAAATACCATATGATCTGTTACATGTGGGATCTAAAATATGACACAAATGAACTTACCTACGAAACAGAAACAGACTCACAGACACAGAGAACATACTTGTGGTTGCCAAGGGGTAGGGGTGGTAGGGAGGGATGGATAGGGATTTGGGGATTAGCAGATGTAAGCTATTATATATAGAATGGATAAACAACAAGGTCCTACTGCATAGCATTGGGAACTATATTCAATATATGTGATAAACCATAATGGAAAAGAATATGAAAAAGAATGTATATATATGTATAGCTGAATCACTTTGCTGTACAGCAGAAATTAACACAAAATATTGTAAATCAACTATACTTCAATAAAACAAAAAGAATTAGGGTTTTCTACTATATAACCTTTCCATCGATGTAATGTTATTTAATTTAGTGACTCTTCTTATCATAAAATAAGACACAGGAAACTGACCCAATGTATATAGCATAGCATCTGGAACAAAGGAGGTACTCATTGAAATATTTATATTCTTCTTTCTAATCTATTCATTTTATACACACTTCACTACCCCCTCTGGAGAAAAAAGGCCAAAAAATAAATTTGTAAACTATAGCTTAAATTTGAAATAAAGCAAACAATTTGGCCATATTTCTGCTGGAGAGATAAAGGAATTATAGAGTAACACAAGCATGAACTCTAGCCCCTATCTGTCCTTATCTGGGTGTAAACTAGAAATCTAAGTTGGATGGGAATCTCCCCTGCAGGAAAGGAGTAAGAGACAGAGGGAAGGAAAAGCCGCCTGGGGAGGGGTGGGGGAAGGGCGGGGTGGTGGAAGAGAATAAAAGTACAAGGAAGAAAAAAAGAAGGAAGTAGAAGAATAGAAGGAGAAAAAGCAAAAAGAGAAGGAACAGAAAGTCAAAGAAGAGGATGAAGAAGAGGAGGAAAGGAGGAGGAATAAGAAAGGAGAATGAGGAAGAAGACGAGAAAGAAAAAAGAAGAGTAACAGAAGAATACAGTAAATAAACAAAGTGACAAAGAATCAGAGGACACTATTCACTGAATAACATTCTGGAAGCCTAAAAGTGCTAATATGAGTTTCCAGAGAAAACCGATTTAACCTCAGCTAGAAGAATATGACTCAAGTAATGATTGCATTTGGAACGTCTTACATTAAGCATACGCCCTGTGCCAGGCACTGAGTTACATGCTGTAACGGTGAGTCTCATCCTCACAGAGCTCACTGCCATCTCAGAGGAGACAATTAGACCAAAAACACAGCACTATTGGTACTGAGGAAGCACAGACCAGAGAGCAAGTATGTTAGTGTACAGAGGGCAAAGGGAGACTTCTGAGAGGAAGTGATATTACAGCTGAGATCCGAAGGATGAGCAGGGGGAGGTAAAGTGAAAAGAAGGGGAAAGTCAAATAAAGTGAAGGAAGAGAATATTCCATTCTACATAAAGGGAACAGCTTGTGTGAAGGCCTGTACACGAGTGACGGCAGATACATTATAGGAATTGGAAGTTCGGTACAGCTGCCGATGAACAGTGGCAGGAGAGGAAGTCAGAAAAGGAGGGGACAGGGACTCAAAAAGAGTAGAGCCGGAAAAGAATCTGGAATCGGGAGGGAAAATAAGACTCGGCAAGGAAACTGGTCAGTAGTAGGAATAATTCAAGTGCAATATAATTGAGGACTAGACAAAGCTGGCTGCAGTGATAATGGAAAGAAAGAGATTTAAAAGGCCATTTAGAACAATAGAATCAGTATTTCATGACTAATAGGATAAAGAGAAGCAAAGGACGATCAAGGATGTCCCGTCAGTTTCTGGCTCAAGAACCTGGAGGTGAGGAGGGAAGGAGGAGAGACGTCCTTCATGTGGACAGGAGGAAACAATGAGTTCAGTTTCGGACACAATGAGTTTGAGGCGCCTGGGAGACACTCAAGTGTAGGTGTAGTAGTTGAGAACGTAGGTCTGAGCTGGACATTAATTTGAGAGCAAAACCATGAATGCTTGGGACGGGATCACCAAGGGAGTCGCGACACCAAGTGAAGAAGAGGTGAATCAGGGCACAACCCTCAAGTGAAGCAATGCTTAAGGAGCAGGCAGAAGAAGGGAGCTTGCAAAAGAAACCCAGGAGGAATGAGAACTAGAGGATATCCAAGATACTATGATATAATCAAAGCCAAGCAAAGAGACTGAAGAAGGAAGATGAGGTTAAAGGTATAAAATATTAAGGTAAATTCAAGTTAGACAAAACCTGTGAAACAGGCCAGTTGGATTTGGCTAAAAGAAAGTTACCAGTAACCTTAGTAAGAGCAGTTTCACTGAAATAATGGGGGGACGGAAACAATTTTGAAATAGGTTGAAGATTAAGCGGGAAGGAGGAGATAGAGGTCAGTGTTGACTCTTTTTACAAGTCTTCCTATGAAAAGGAAAAAGAGAGGAGGCATATGGGAGGAAGCCAATAAAGAAAGAGAAGTTGTAAATACAGGACAGAGAAGAGCTAAGAAAATAGTGTCACTCAAGAGGCAAGAAGGGACATGATCTAGAGCACAGGGGGAAGCCCTGGTCTCAGAGTAACAGAAGGAAGGGAAGAAGGAGTGTCTGCAGGCACAGGTGTCTGGTGCTCTAACGGGGAAAGTTAGGGGGTTCCTACATGCTGGTTTCTATGAGCTCTACAAAATTAAAGACAACATGTTCTGCTGGGAGTGAGAACAAAGTACAAGGAGTTTAATGTCTGCAGAGAACAATAAATATTGGCAATAAATGCAGTAGAAAATAGGAGAAAGGAAGAATGTGCACAAAGACACACAGTATTCTATGGGTAGCAGTAACCTATGAAAGCTCAAGTTTTGTTTGTCCCCAGTGGGACCCTGCACCCTGGAAACAGGCACAAAAAAAAAGAGTACCAGCTGGCTTTCATCAGTGTTGAACTTCCTGTCTGGATAATGGGCAAGGACGATGAAGACAGGACTCAGCAAACTTATTCTGTAAAAGGTCAGATAGCAAATATTTAGACATCGCAGACTGTACGGTCTCTGCTACACTCCTCAACTGCTGCTGTGGTGCAAAAGCAGCCGTAGACCATATGTAAATGAACGGCTGGAGCTGTGTCATTTATAAAAACAGGTGGCGAGCTGGATCTGACCGGCCACCAGCTGTAGTTTACCAACCCCTAGTTTAAGAGAAGGAAGTAAAGATACAAAAAAACACTGATATCAGAGGGATGAATAGGCTAGAACTTTGAAGAGTTGAAGAATCGGTGCCTTCCAAAGAGAACTGAAATTTTACGGCATGAATAAAGTTGAACATATGTTAGAATAACAGTCTATGCAACAAACCTTTGAGCCTATTTCACAAACATCAATAGGATCATTATCTCCACAGCAGTCTGTGCTCTTATCTTTTCGATGGGGATCTTCCCAAGTCTAAAAAACAGAAGGGCGGGGGTGGAATATGGGTTAATACTCTCTATAATGTATCTTAATCTTTCCACATGTCCATGAAGTTTTACAGATAGCCATAATCCGAGGGGAAAATTCTCAGAAATTAAGTAGGCTCAATGCCAACATGCCAGTACATCCCTAAGCATCATAATAATTAAAACAGATTCATACTATTTCCTCCCTCCTGCCTTTCATTTGTCTGTATAATCACATCTGAAAGTGGGTGGTATTTACAAATACACTCTTCTTCCAAGTTTAGTCAGTGTCTAAAATCATGCTCACTTTTATTTAGAGCTTCAGTTCAGGTGTTCCCGTTGTCTGTGCCCTTGTTTCCACTGTCTGGACTGCTGCTTCCACTACTCACTGCTTCCTTTGACATGGAACAGCATTGGGTCTGGCTTTCCAGGTTTGAAAATAAACTTCCTATACTCTAAGTAACTTCTACTAGAACAAACCCAGTTTTCCCTTCATAAACCAAAGAGCAAGTATCTACGAAAGAAAAACCCATTTTTGTCCCATTTCATTCCATTTTAAAAATCCTCTACATTTGTCATCAAATCTCGAAAATTTGACAAAACCATGAAAAGGTGTCAACTCTTTAGTTTACTGAAAAGATTATACCCTGTCGGCTATAAACTATACACATTGAGTATTTTTATAAATGAACAGCATAACGGAAATTTGTTATCAAGCTTCAATATCCCTTAGGCACCATCCTTCCCCAAAAGCTCCATAATTAGCTGATTCTAAGTGGAACTGTAGAAGTTCCCTGAAATTATTTCTCTCAGATTTGTAAGATGTGCAGAGACTGTGTCATCTCAAGAATGTTACCTAGAACTTCAGATTATCCAAGATTGGCTCCTCTAATTTTATATAGATAATTTAAAATGAACCCTATTTACAGCTAAACCCTAGATAAACTCTAGTATTTCCCTTCTGATCATAATTATAGCATATTTAGGAATAAACTGACCCATCCTTACCAGAAAGCAAAATCAGTAAACCACGACTAACATTTCACTACCCCCAATACTAGCATTACTAATAAAATATAAGGATAATAAAAATAACTGTTAACCTTACATATTGGTTATAGGTGAGAGATACCTTCCCAGTGATATACACACACATATACATACATGTATCCCATGAAGAATGTACCACTATTAACCCCATTGTACAGATAAGTAAACTGCAGCACAGAGTTTAAACTTGCCAAGCTCAGATTCTAAATGGTGGCAATGAGATTAGAACACATGCTATTAAAAATTATGTTATGATGCCCAGATTTTGATAACAAATATTTGGTAATTGAATGGCAATTACTTTCAGATATAACCTTATTCATGACTCTCTTCTTTTAAGTTCTCTTACTCTCAGAATCTCCTAAGTATATTTTCCTACGGTTGACCTTACTGCTTCTTGTTTTCTATTACCAGGCATCCATTCATTGAGTTAATATTTATTGATTACCTACTCTTGACCAGGAGTTAGGAACAGAAACCAACAGGACACAGTCAACACCCTGAAGAACACCATGCTGATAAATGGTGTAGCATTTGTCACAAATGCTACAAAATTAATCTTAATGTGCTGGAGAAGCCAAGACAGAAGTGAAGTATAAGTGGAATTAGAAAACCCAGAGGCAGAATCAGAAAATATCTGAGAGGTTCTTCCTTCCTAATGCAGGAATCCTTTCTTGAACCTTCCTTAACCTCACTCCCACTCTCAGAAGGGAACAAACGTGATAAGCTAGAAGTCACTCCGGCCTGAAGGAAGATACCTAGATTCTAGTCCTACTTTAGCCACAAACTACCTTGGCCAAAACATCCAGACCTCAGTTTCCTCACCTACAAAAAGAATGGCTTAAATAAGACAATTGCTAGATACATCCCAGCCCTGAATTCTATGGTTGTTAGTGGTCATTCATAACCTACATAAATACTACCAGTGAACAGGAAGCTCACAAATTCATGAGATAACTTAGCCCATTTTGGTCGGATTTAATATTTACAAAAGTCCTTTCTGGTACTGACACAAAAACTGTCTTCATATAAGTGGTATTCCATTTGGTTTTTGTGAGTGTTTCTGTTTGTTGATTGTTTCATTGGTCTACATTCCCTTCAGAAACTCCACTTTCAACATTACCTATCAATTTAGTTCCTTCTCTTGAGAAAATAAGTACATACAGGCAAAATTCTTAAGCTATAACAATGCTGTCAATTTTAGGGCGAGTGAGTGGTTCATGATTTCCCTCACCAGAAAAAAAGACCATACGAGTTCTTTCTATCTCTAGTCCTGCCTTTAACACTCTATACCTTCAGGGCTCAGTTTTTTACTACAAAAAGAGAGTCATACTAAATGACTTCTAACTTAACTTGAAAATACAGTATAATTTCAAACAATCACTAGGAGAGGAAATCTTGACAAATTTAAAACTTTATGCCCTCGAGTGTAGCTTTAAGTATCTAACTAGGCAGAGAAACAACTAGAAAAGCACAGTCAGGCTAGAAAAGAAATATCCAGAAGAGGAAATTCCAAATCTTAATAACTGTTTCACAAAAGTGACAAAAGATTAGATCCAGAATTTAGAAATAACTTCTACAGTTAAATAAGAAAAAGAGCAATGCAATACAAAATGGGTCAAAGACAGGAACAGGTAATTCAAAGAGGAAACGTGAATGACTTACAAATATATGAAAAGATACCCAGTCTGATCAGAGAAATACAAATTAAAACCAAAATGAGACGCTATTTCAAAAACTTAAAAATCTGATAATGCTAAATACTGGTAATGATGTAAGAAACCTGGAACCCTACTACTACTGGTAGGAGTATATATTATTACAACTTCTTTTGTAAACAATTTGTGAATACCTAGTAAAGTAAGTAGGTATGTAACTCAGAACTTAGCAATCTGACTCATAGGCATATACTTAGTAGTATATACGTATATATGTTAAGTATATAGAAAAATTTTAGCAGGGACCCACGAAAAGCTTTAAAAAGAGTTTAAAAACCTATCAAGAAGAATACAAATAATGCTAAACTCATATAAAGGATGGCTATAAAGCTATGAAAAAAAATCAGAATACATAGATTATTGATCTAGCCTAAAACAAACCTTACTCACCCTCATGAAGGTTTTGAGATCATTACCTTACAATCTTATAAATATTAACCAATACATCTGTAATCACCATGATCTTGTACTTCAGTCTCTTCAAAAAAATCACTGAATGGTACAGAGCTGGGTATACAGATGCTTCTTGAGAACTACTTCCTGATCAATCAGAATTCCTATAATCAAGTCAAAGGAAGTAAGATCTACTCAACCGCTACCTGAAGTTCACCAGCTTCAATCTGGAGCAAAAGCTATTTACTATTAGCCGCTAATATCAATCAGTGGCAACAGTGTCATCATCGAGATAATATTATTGAACACTCACTACGGGGCTAAACTTGCTTTGATCATCTCATTCAATATCCACAATAACCTTGTGGGGTAAGTGGCAGGATGATACAGATGAACAAATAGGCCTAGAGACATTTAGTCACTGGTCCCAGGTTATAAAGCTAAGAAGCGGTACTAAATGAAACTTGGGGTCACTGAACCAAATTTATAATGAAGTTCAAAGTAATAAATACAATGATATTACATTAAGACTGAAGAAATCTTGAAGTCAGTGATTCCAGTCCTTTAACATTATTCCGACAGGTCCTCTAAATATTTACACAGAAAGTTATTACACTTGAATAATATGTGGGAAATATGCACAATCAGGGGGAAGACAAAGATGATTCTTGCCCAGTCCAAACTCAAACTCTGAGGAAGGCATTATTGCTGTTGCAAGGGAAGTTATTAAGGTTAAACAGTCTAGGCAGATGAAGGTCTGAAATGAGGGCACACAGATGGATTACAAGCTAAATGGAGAGGCTGCTACTTAAATAGTATTCTGCTGCTTAAATGTTCTTCCAAGCGTGGTTGGCTTGGTAACCGCTCTGGACAAACTTCCTGCTGTTACAAGACAAATCGTAAGAGAACAGCAAAATCCAATTACCCACACATGCCTACGAAGCAAATGCAACATACACCGTGCATTCATGGATTCATTCATCCCCAAATATTTACTGATCACCTACTTGGTGCCAGACACTAAGCTGGGCAGTTGGAAGACATCAGTGAACAAAACAGACAGAATCCCTGCCCTTATGGAGACTGCATTCTAGCTAAAAGATATTAAAAATAAACATAATAAATAACTAAATTATGTAGCATGTCAGAAGTTGGTAGGTGTAATGGAAAAGGGAAAAAAAAAAACAAGTATGGAAGGAGGAATGGGAGTACATGGGTTAAAGCTGTAAAGGATGTTCTGGGCAGACACCGTGAAGGAGGTAACCGACCAGCAAACATTTAAGAAGGCAGGACATGTGACCACTGGGAGAGAGTGTCCCGGGCTGGAGGACACAGTAAGTGTGATGGCCTGAGGCAGGAGTGTGCCTGGAGCATAGAGCAGTCGTGAGAAGGCCAGTGTGGAGGTGAGAGAGCAGGAAGAGAAGCTAGACACGAGACCAAAAACATAAATGGAACCGGGGGCTGGCTTGCATTTTAACAGGCTCACTCTGTCTTAACATCAACCTGAAGCAAAGAGATACCGGGTACGGTACCTTGCCCATCAACTGGCCTAATTTCAACTTTTTATAAACATGAATCTATGTAGCTATTTTTGTTTGGTGTTTCACCTCTACGCAGTCTATAGTACATTCTTCTGCTGAAGACTCTCACACACATACACACACACACTACAACGTCAGTTTGGGTGTAAAAAGATACTAAAGATCTCTGGTTGAAAACAGCAGAGAGAATACAGGTCGATTTCCTCTTCCTCACTTCCATTCTAGCCACACTGGCCTCCTTTCTGTTACTCAGGCACTAGAAGCCGCCTTCTACCTCGGGACCTTTATACTTGTTTCTTGATGAATTCCCCTAGATGGCCCTAGATGGCCCTCACTTCCTCAGGTCTTTACTAAGATAAACACCTTCCCATTTTCTTCAGGTCTCCCCCCAGATAATACCACCTCACTGAGGCCTTCTCCCTGTGTAAGCCGCAACAATCCCAACACACCCCAGCCCCATTCCCTGATTTATTTTTCTCTAACACGCTTACCACTATCTGATGTACTGTACATTTTTACTTTTTTTTTTGTCTGTCTCTCTGCCCAGAATACAAGTCCCAGAAGAATTTTTGTCCCTTTTATCACTGCTTTACCCCCAGTACTTAGAACATGGCCTGGCAAACGTTAGATACTCAAAAAATGTGTACAGAATGAATAAACAGCTCTGTGAAGGAAGGGCTGGTGTGGAAACGCCAAGGGACACTCGAAACACTGAAGAAGCTGCTGTGGTGGGATGGAAGTGAGGAAAGACGAAGGCTGCAAAACGAGGCTGGAGAAGCAGGGCCACATCATGAAGGGTTGGGGAGCCATATTAGGAACTTTTTATTTTATCCTTTTAGCAACAAGAGACCATTAAAAGGTTCTCTTATGGGCAAAATGGTATTTTGGATACTAGGTGGAGTATGAAATCTTGGTAGGCAGTGGTGAAGGCAGGGGGCAAAGAGCCAGCGGCAGTCGAACTCTGCTCTAATATAAGAACCACTGCACCTAACAGACCAATATAATAGCAGCAAGAGCATCTTGCACATTCAAACACATGCAGAGGAGCACAAAAATTTGTCAGGACTTTAAATAGATAAACTACAAAAGATGAGTTAGTAGCATCTATTATGCTCCACTGTAACCACTAGTTGGTTGATGATCACCCCACCCCCAAGAGTCTATATAAAGACCATATAATAATAAAAGTACCAACAGTAATAATAATGGGATCACTATCTATTAGGCGCTATTCTAACATAAACGTGCAATAACTCATTTACCCTCAACAGGACCATGTGCAGTAGGTACTTTATCATCTCTATTTTACATATAAAGAGGGTGAGGTACCGAAAGACAAAGGAACTTGCCCAAGGTCACATTACTAGGAAGTGGCAAGCTGGCTCCAAAATCAACATTCTTAGTCACCGATTATGCTGCCTTGACCTTATACGTATCTCTCATTTTTCTGTTTTCCCAACACCTAATACACAGCATAGCACATAAATCCTTAATAAATGTTTAATGAAATAAACAAATACATACTTTTTATGGCTCTGTTTTTGTCTTTCTCTAATTCAACGGCTTCTTTGGCCTTCCCCTCATCTATGTCTTCTCGTACAGACCTATCCCCCAAGCTTAACAAAAATATTCTTGCTTTTTCACTGCTAGGTCAAACAGGGTCTCTACTTAGGCACCTGGGGAGTCAGAAAACCTGCCTTCTTGGTTTCAACAGACATCCTCATTCTTAGCACACCATGTTAGAAATGCCTGTTTTAACCAAGAATGTATCTACTTGGGTGGTCTAACTGCATCAAAGACAGCCTGACTCTTTAAAAAACATTTTTCTTTTTTCTTTTCCTGTGAATGTTTATTCTACATGGGCAGCTGTTTTTCTGAGTTGGATAAAGCAAGACCTCCTTTTCTCAGATAATTTCCAAAAAGCATCTTGGAATTTCATGCAAAATATTAAAATTAATAAATAAAATTTAAATAATCAAAATTAAATATTCAGATAGACAGATGCTCTAATGGCTTTTATAAACATAAAGGCAGATGCTTCTCTGTGTCCCCAAACCTAGACTTCTGAATCTGCATATTCTGAGTTTTACTCACTAAATTATCTGGAAGGAGTTACCACTTCCCAGGAGTGAGGAAACAGGAGAAGAAAACAAAAAGGGAGAAGAAAGGAAGAAAAGCAAATAGTGTTACTCTCTAGTAGGAATGCTGCTTTACCATTACTTAGTCACTGTTTCCATTGCTTCCCACTTAAAAATTATAAATTCATAATAGTATATAATTAAGTTGCTTTACTCAATTCACAATGAGTTCTGAAAGAGGTAACAATTTAAAAGTTCATCTGTTAAAATTTAAAAAACAAAATTCATGCTGTCATATATGAATGCATATAAAAGCATAACTTGTCATATCCAAAGAAATGACTGCAGATTAAGGAGATAAAACATTTTTCACGACTCTTAATAGCCAAGCCCAGAAAAAGAAATAACACTCAAAATGCCAAATGTGATTGTTCTATATACCTAACTCTAAGAACTTGAGTACAGACATATATATACTTTGAAAAAAAAATTTACTGATACAACAAAACTCCACATTAAAAAAATTTATATTCACAAATCTCTCACACTGACATGTCCTTAGAACCAATTTAAATTCTAGTAGTTCACAGGATTTACAAGGCAATTTTTTCAGAAGACAGAGAAGTTTTACCATTATAACAAAAATGTTACCTGAGGGAGGGCACCGTAATTCCATATATAACCCTTGTGAGGAAAGATATTTGCCACGTAGCGAAGCTTGCCATCCTTTACATCTTGCTTAATGGGATTCAATGGCTCCTCCGTGGCAATCTAAGCAGGTCATGGAAAAAAGAGGGGTGGGGAATAAGAAACGATTAATCCTATATTCAAATAGTATTTTTTAAATCTGCCATTATCAGACTAAGTATTCATAATCCAACTTACTGATCAAAGACACTTTAAAATAAATTAAGCCAGTTCTTGTTTCTAATTTACTGTTCTGTATTAAAAAAAACTGTCTGGAAAAGAAACATCAGACTATATTTTTAGGCACTCTATTACTTATGAACTCATTATTTCTAACACAAATAAGAAAGCTTATTGAAACGGCAAGAGGATAAGGATTAATCAACTTCCTCTTTGTTACTAATCTCGGACTTTCTACCATCAATCTTATAATAAAGTTAACCTAAAGATTTTCACCAAGTGATTTCATTTCAAAGTTACCTTTCAATCAAACATATCCAAATTGCCATGCAAAAAGAAAAAAAAAAACTATCCTATAAAGTAAATAAAAAATAACTGAAGCCATGTTTGAATGAATAAACACTGCTTAAATTAGGCAGAATCTCACAGAATCTTGATCCTATACCCAAGTGAGGTAGAGAGTAGCCAGAATGATAAAACATTGTATTTAAAGCAAGAACAAAAGAAGAATCTAATATCTTTACTTTTTCCTATTAACATATTAACAACAACAACAAAATACTACCAGGACTTGGTGAAGTTACTGACAATCCTCCAAATATAAAATCTCAGAAATATATACTGACGTAACAATCCTTAAACACTTGAAATAATACTTGCCATCACATCCAAAGTTGTAGGAGAAGGCTTAAATAACTAAACAAACTAAGTACCATAAATCAAATTTCATTCGGAACTATAAGGGATCTTACCTAACTGAAGATGAAATCATAAAATTCTGAAAAGCAAAAGGGAAGTTCTTGATAGGTTCATGTCTCATGGAAAAACTTAAAAAAAAAAAAAAAAGCTAACCAGGGGAACAGCAGATGCTCTTAGAAAGTGCTCAGAAACCAAGTTGGCCAGCAAAATGCTTTCATTCCTAGTAGACTAAAATAAAATCTAAAGGAAAATTAAGTCCTTAGAAACCAAAATTATCATCAGCCCCAGATAATATGTTTCAGTTGTGTCTATGAACAAAATACATCTCAGAATCTATTTAAGAAAATCTTGAAAATATTTGTCATTTTCAAAGACAGAGGAGTCAAGGAAAATTAAATAAATAACGTGTATAACAAACTAGGGAGGCAAAAATGGAAAACATTTTCTTTAAAGTATAAATTCAGCTTTGAATAATATTTTCCTTTTTGAAATTAGATTCAAAATAAGTTCACAAGAATGTTTTCCATTGCTTTAATTATAAAGAAGTTTGTCAACCATCCCAATTTCAAAATATTATGGCAAACAACTTGAAACCAAGTTTTTATATCATTATTATCATTTCCATTTGATATTAATAGGATATATCCATACCTCCATTTTAGCATTTGTCCACCGAGGTACTTCTACAACCATATTAAACAAATTCTGCAATTTAAAAAAACAACAAAGAAAAAACATTTAAAATTTTGCCTTCCTTTATCTTTTCACTTATCTCCTGCATGAGAATGCTTTAGTCTTTTTCCCACAAAAAATGTCAAGCGTCTGCATCATATGTCTGCCTATGCCTTAAATTCCTTCTAAAAAATTATAGAAGTTGTTTAAAACACAACAGAATTTAAACCTGATCGTGTCACTTGCCCACTACTGTACAGTGTTAGGAGTTGCTACATTTCTGGAAATACCTTTGCAGGGTAGTGAAAGAACCAGAATGGAGCCAGGAAACTTTTATTTTCCAGCTAAAATAGGAGTGAGAGCTGAATGTGTCACTTTTCCAGTCTACAAAGTAAGTGTGATAATCTCCTTCCTCACCCCACACAAGGTTGTTGTGAAGATGAATTACATATTTTAAATGAAAATACAGACAATTATGAAGTATTTTTAAAATTATAAAACAATATTTAAATCCAAGTTATTATGATATAATATAAAATTAAGGCTACTGGTATAGGTAGTTGTAAAGCTTACAAAGAGTTTTAAAGCTTAGCTTGCATATCTAGTGATCTCTGGTTCCCTAAAGTTATAAAAGGACCACTGCTTCTTTTTAGCATTTCTGAACTTTGCAGAGTACTTAAAACAAAGGAGACTCTACATCAGTGATGGGTAAAAATAATTTCCTACAGTAACGGCCTCACAAAGAGAAAGTCTTACAGGTAAAGTTGACTTGTATGCCATTCTGCTATCAGTAACCAACAACTTATCAAAGCAATGGTTTAAAACAGTCCTACTCCAAGTGTGGTCATGGACCAGGGCTAATCTGTAATCTGACTGTTACTGGTTCATTTAGAAACATTTATAACAATCTGACAGAGTACTTTTTATGACTGTTGAACCTAATAATAAAAATTTGGCACTTGAATTACACTTTTCTAATAATTCATTTTGATTGTATTTTTTTAAAGTATCAGTTCACAACAGATTAGAAGTAAACAAAAAAACTGTCCTTCACCACAGATCATTTGAGAAGCAGTGATTAAATATACTTATTCTCAACTGTGTCACACAGCAAAATCACCTGGAGAGCTGTAACCGAGTAAAAAAAAAAGAAAAAGATTTTTAGAGCCCCATCTCCTACATATTTGAATTCAATGGTTCGCAGGTGGAGCCAGGGCACTGCTTATTTTTAAAAGCATTCCAAGCAATTTTCATATGCAGCCAGAGTTGAGAACCTCTGGTTTAAAGCACTGGTAAACAATATCTGGAGCTTCCTTAGTGAAACATGAATGCTATTAATTCAAAGAATGCCATTTATACAATTAAATATAAATCAAGCCACAAAAATAATGATGGTTTTTAAGTTCTTCTAGATAAGACTAAAGTTTACCAGTGACAAAACTGCATACTCATAACGAGATAAGGAACAAAGCTGAGAATGAATTCTCAACAATTGCTCCTTAGAAGTATGTCTCATACCTATCTTAGCAACCTTATACACAGGCCTGCTGTTATGTTTCATTTTCTATGCTCTTTCATGAGGTACCCCAGCACCTGTTTAAATATGTCTGAAGTAGCTGTTAAAAAGAAAAACCTAAGGAAATGACAGATGTTCACATAATTTATTCATCCCTGAAAGTCTGGCTATAAGAGAACAAATGCATGCAGATGAATACTCAGAGGTGACAGAGAAGACAAAGCTAGTGACAATCCTTTTACACAAGGACACCTACCAAAAGCACTCACGGAGACTTGAATTACACCAAAAGAACAATGGATCAGGTTTGAATTTTACGCCTACAAACTACACTCTCCCTCATCATTTGTTTCTGATCACTAGGAGTGTATTTCCAGCCTGTTTTTCTTCTCTCTGGCTAAAATGCATACGACCTGTAATTTTTTAAAGCCAATGTTAGTCTGGTTATCCTAGGATTAGTGTTAATTACAAACCAAAAATGGCCTGCTGCAATTTATTAGAAAATCACAAAGATACAAGGGGACACATTTCAAATTCAGAAAGTTGAGTATGGGTCAGGGGCATTCACTTCCTCCTTCAGTTCTTTTCTTTCTATTATTCCCTTCTATTTTTATTGCAGGGGGGAAAAAAAAGATGAAAAAGCAGTCAGTAGATTTTATATACTTGGGGACAAAAATGAGAGGAAATCACCCTTCTATCCTCTTTCTCTTAAAATATCAAATAAACTTTGGATTTGACACTAAAAGCAAAGGCAACAAAAGCAAAAATAAATAAATGGGAATACATTAAACTAAAAATCCTGCACAGCAAAGAAGACCATCAACAAAATGAAAAGGCAACCAATGGAATGGAAGAAAATAAGTCGTAAATCTGTTAAGGGGTTAATATACAAAATACATAAAGAAATCATGTAACTCAACAGCAAAAAACCAATCCGATTAAAAAATGGGCACAGGTCTTGAATAGACACTTTTCCAAAGAAGACATACAGATGGCCAGCATCACTAACCATCAGGGAAATGCAAATCAAAACCACTATGAGATAGATGCTCATTGCCTGTTAGAATGACTATCATCGAAAAGACAAGAAATAACAAGTATTGGCAAGGATGTGGAGAAAAGGGAACCCTTGTGCACTGTTGGTGGGAATGTAAATTGGTGCAGCCTCAATGGAAAACAGTATGGAGGTTCCTCAAAAAATTGAAAATAGAACTACCATATAACCCAGAAATCCCACTTTGGGATATATATCCAAAAAAAAAAATGAAAACAGGATACTGAGCAGCTATTTACACTCCTGTGCCCATTACAGCATTATTCACAATAGTCAAGACACGGAAACAACCTAAATGCCTGTCAACAAATGAATGAATAAAGATGTTGTATACATACAAGGGAATATTATTCAACCATGAGAAGGAAATCTTGCCCTTTGTGACAGGAGGGATGAACCTGGAAGGTATTATGCTCACTGAAATAAGCCAGAAGGAGAAAGACAAATACTGCATGGCATCACTTATATGTGGGATCTTAAAAATTTTTTAAAGCCGAATTCATACAAAGAGAGTAGAAAAGTGGTTGCCAGGGCCTAGGGGGTGGGGGAAATACGAGAGAATTTAAAAAAACAAAATACAAAAAAACCCTCAAATCAGGTAGTCTCTGACACACAAACTATGTAACTAAGAATTAAATGTTAAGTTGGCTGTGTGTACTCAGAATACATTTCTCCCACTGAAACAACTGTTTCCAGTTTAACATTTGAAGTCTCTAGGAATCTATAAAGACTTGAGCCCCTGAATGTCTATTCACCCAACATCTAGAGCAATGGTTCTCAAACTTCAGGTGCATAGGATGCCCTGGAACACTTGTTACACATGTAGACTAGCCAGTCCCCAGCAAGCAGAGATTCTCATTTAGTAGACATGGAATGCACCAGGAATCAGAAATTTTAACAAGGGCCCTAAGCAGTTCCAATGCAGATGGCTTAGGACCATTTTGACAAACGCCAGTTTAGGAAAATACAAGATGGAGGGCAGGCAAAGGTGACAGGAATTCAACAGCCCCACAGCTATGTTTGGAAGTGGATTCAAAGGCTGGGGTCATAAGTTTCAGCCAGATGAGAGACTAGATAGCAGTAAGGTTGGAAAGGGAAAAGAAGGCTAAGGAAGTGGCAGGAAAAGCTGCCTGGAAACAGCAAGATATAAAGGTATCAACAGCAAGAAATGGGATGATCGTAAGTCAAGAAATATGTCAAATGTGCTGATCCTAAGCCCAGAAATATTAAAAGCTTGACAGTCACATACTTGAAAGATTGATTGAGAATGTATTTATTTTAGCATATAGTTGGTATAACTTTTTTTTTTTCTTCTCTACCCCCAAAAGAGTTGTTCCTGGATCCTAGAATAGTCAGATTCATAAACAGAAAGTAGAATAGTGGTTAGGGGCTGCATGGAAGCGGGAATGGAGAGCTTTTGCGTAATGGGTACAGAGTTTCAGTCTGGGAGGATGAAAAAGTTCTGGAGATGGATGGTGGTGATGGTTGCACAACATGCTAAAGTACTTAATGTCACTTAAAGTATACTTAAAAAGTGTACAATAAATAAAATGCTAAGTGTAATGTCACTTAAAGTATACTTAAAAAGTGTACAATAAATAAAATGCTAAGTGTTATGTTATGTATATTTTACCACAAGGGAAAAAAAGTAAAATGGTAATACTGTCCCTAGCTGCCTTAAAGAGTTACTAGAAGCAGAAAAACATCAGAATGCACACAAAAGTTTTGCAAGGGAGAATAATTCAGAATCATTTTACAAATGCAAACTATCATCAAGGTCTTTAAAAGACAATGTGAGACACACAAATAAAAACCTTTAGATATACCTCATATTCATCATTTCGTGCTCTCTTTGTAGGAATGCCATTTTCCTATAAAAGAAAAGATGGTTATCAGAGAAATTCAATTCAAAAATACAATGAGGTACCACCTCACACTGGTCAGAATGGCCATCATCATAAAGCCTACAAATAATAAATGCTAGAGAGAGTGTGGAAAAATGGGAACCCTCCTACACTGTTGGTGGGAATGTAAATTGACGCAGCCAATATGGAGGACAGTATGGAGGTGCCTTAAAAAACTAAAAATAGAGCTGCCATACGATCCAGCAATCCTATTCCTGGGCATATATACAGAAAAGACAAAAACTCTAATTCGAAAAGATACATGCACCCCAATGTTCATAGCGGCACTATTTACAATAGCCAAGACATGGAAGCAACCTAAATGTTCATCAACAGATGAATGGATAAAGAAGATGTGGTATATACATATAATGGAATGTTACTCAGCCATAAAAAAGAATGAAATAATACCATTTGCAGCAACATGGATGGAACTAGAGATCATGATACTAAGTGAAGACAGACAGACAGAGACAAATACCATATGGTATCACTTACATGTGGCATCTAAAAAAATGATACAAAAGAACTTATTTACAAAACAGAAGTAGACTCACAGTGATAGAAAACAAACTTATGGCTACCACAAGGGAAAGAGGAGGAGGGATAAATTGGGAATTTGGGATTAACAGATACACACTACTATACATAAAATAGATAAACAACAAGGACCTACTCTATAGCACAGGGAACTATATTCAATATCTTGTAATAACCTATAATGGAACAGAATCTGAAAAAGAATATATATATATTGTGTGTTTGTGTGTGTGTATACATATAAAACTGAATCACTTTGCTGTACACCTGAATCACTGTAAATTAACTATACTTCAATTTAAAAAAGAAAGTATTTATGATTGTGATATTTCACGAAAGAATACAGCTGCATTGACTGCAGAGCAATGAAAATATGCCTATTGAATAAACACTCCACTACAGAGGCTTCCAGGAACCTGATTCAACAGAGAATCCACCAAATGCCCACTTCATTTTTCTCTCAGCATTTGCATCCCCAGTGCATGAGCATCAAAGTGTTTCACAAAACAAATTATCAGAAAAGCTACATCTCTTTCAAGTATACTTTCCTAGTTTTTATAAAACAAGCAAAGGCTCTGTTCAGTCTTTAAGGAAAGACTGGCAGTTTCCAGTGACTATGCTTAAAACATAAAACATTATTGGAATGAAACTTCAGGGAGTATGACTAACAAGCCATGAAAGTACTCGGCTGCACCTCCTGCCTGTGATTTCCACCAAGGTGTGATTACTATGCCTCCATCAAGCACTTTTAAATTAAGAGTGTATGGTGGGTTGAGAAGAAAAATTATGCCATTCACAAATGCTCACACATTATATGTAACTTTTACACACCAAAACAACTAGTGGAGGAAACAAAAACTAACAGCAAAACAATTATTCCAAGCCGGCCCGGAAACATTATTCCTGTTCCTAAAATACCACCACCCAAAGTATAAGGTGCAACCATTCTACCCATTAGGACTGGGAACCAGGGAAACCTATTTACATAACCACTGTGTGTACCAGTCTCCAAAAGGCCCAGAATTCACCAGTATAGCCTGTTATACTTTGTCCTGCCCTATCCTCAATTTTTCATAACCCCAAATCTCATGTTCCCCAAAACCCATCCTCCTTAGGCAGAATATTATGCCCACTGGGATGTTTAAAGCCCACTCTTTGTTCCACCTCCACCCCTACCTACTACATGATTCCTCCAAATATTATTATTATCATTGTTACTGTGATCAGGTATAAAGATTTTGTTACAGTACACCTGAAGCAGCACCCACCAGTCACTCCTACCCTCCTTACCCTATTCTAGTTTTTGAGCACATAACATTATCGGATTGACTTGTTTATTTTCAGGTTGTTAGTCTCCTCCGGCTGAGTGGGAACTATATTCACCTTATTTACCACTGCAACTCTAGTGCTTGGAATACTGTCAGGCTCCTAATAAGCATGCAATAACTGTTTACTGAATGAATAAGTCTATGAGTAAATAAATAGATGAATGCACGCACTTTTGGCCAAAATCAAAGAGAATTTTTGGGAGACGTGAGATATCTAGGTTGGACAGCTCACTGGCCACGACAAAACAAAACACATGGACACACACACATACACATACACACATTCACACACACACACAGTACTGTGGAGTTCTTTCTGCCCTCTCATTGGTTTCTTTCTCTCTCCAGATTACATGACTCCTTGTCCTGTAGCTGAATACTCCTCGGAAGTAATGAGCTAGAAGAATTACACAAGAGCAGTTAAGACACAGGCTTTGTAGAAAAGGGTACCCCTGTTGCCGAGCATCCTTTTCCTCGCTCTTTCTGGGAAAATTATTTATAGAAAATTCTATAGACATTATAGGAAATGACTATAGTTTTAAATGTGTTTGTAAATAATAGTTTAGAATAAAATACCTTTCCTTTCACTTTTTTTTTTTTTTTTACTATATCAAGTCACCATCACCTATTGTCTTCTTGACCTCAAACCTGCTATCATTTAAAATAAAGCCTGAAGAAATGTTTAAAAAAAAAAAAAAAGATACAGTCTGTGGAGTTAGAGCACCTAAGTTCAAATCTCACCTCCACAGCAAACTAGATTTGTGACCATGAGCAAGGTACTTAACCTCACTAACAAAATAAGGATGATAATAGTAGCCCGGCACATTTTGAAATGATGCAAGTCAAGCTCTGGGCACAGTGCTTGCCTAAGCACTACAAACGCTCAATAAATCTTTGCTATTATTCTCCCCGCTGCCACTGTTATGGACAGTCCAGCCCTGTGAAGGGCTGCAAGGCAGCGTAAGTCCTACTCCAGAGTTCCAGAACCTTTGGATGATGCCTGAAATTCAGTCCCTGAGGTAACACCAAAAAGGTCAAACCAGCCTTGCATCTGAAGCAGCTTCCCACTTCTTCACTGGCCTCTGCCCTCACACTCATCTCCCCACAGTTCTAGAAAACCCCACCCCACTAACTAGCCCCATATAATCTCAACCAGGAACATAGTCCTGGTTAACTTACTTAACAGATGAAGTCAGCCAATTATTGTAACTACTCAGATTTCAAGAAAAGAACTTCCAACGTCATGGTGACTACTAACATCCACTGCCAATTATGCCACCTCACCAGCTAGTCAGGAGAGTCCTCGGAAGGTTCCAATATTCCGAGCCCCTCTTAGTTCCACCTTCAGCAGCAGATCTCCCTCTGACCTGACTTACATCCCTTCCACCCTCACACCTGTCAAGTAATTTTAGGTTCTAAAAGAATAACTATTCAAAGACTACAATCTTCCCAACTTTATCTTTCTAGCATCTGTCTCGTAGAGTAGTTAAAGAGCATGAACTCTGTGGTCAGAAATGCTAGTTCAAAACCTGGTTCTGGCACTTACCAGCTGCGTGACCTTAGACAAGTCAATAACATGCCTTCGGCTCCGGTGTCCTTAGAGATGATAATAGCAACTCATAAGGATTAAATAAAATGTCATATGTTCACATGGTGGCTAGCAAACAAAATAATTCACAAATGTTATTACTTCTACTACTACTGCTACTACTACTTAAAATAAGCCTCTTGTTAACCTCTTAAATTCTATACCTTAAATCTTTATTTCTGACCAAATTCTAAGCTTTATCGACTAACATCTCTTTCTCCTCAAGTCCTCCTGGAAGAATCCTATTCTTATCCAAATTCTAATTCACGAAGGAGGCTTATAATCCTGTTATGATAACTCTGTTGCCCTTCTCAGCTTCCGACCACATTCTTTCCTTTCAAGATGCTTCCAAAAAGCATTTTATGGTGATATGAGAAGTACATATTTTCATGCCCCAAACAAGTTAAAACAATACCTCTTCAGAGTCCGCCTTCAGAGGAATATCATGAAAGGGGGAAATGTAGTGACCAGCTACATTCTCTGCAAAGGAAAATAAACAAAAACACAGAATTAAAGCAATGGTCTATCTTGTTCTTTAGAGCAATTATACTCTTACCCACTTTTAAATTTTAAACACGTTTTTAATGTTTTTTTTCAAAATTAACTTTAACTCCCAATTTAAAGTTTAATTCAACTTTTAAAACTTGCTCCAATCTGATTACGAAAGAGAAAAACAGTAGTCCCCCCTTATCTTCGGGGGATACATTCTAAGACCCCAATGGATGCCTGAAGCTGTGGATAGTAACCCTACATATGTTTTTTTTTTTTCCTATACACACATACCTATGATAAAGTTTAATTTATAAATTAGGCACAGTAAGAGAATATCCGAATTGCCAGCATCACTATTCTTGCGCTTTGGAGCCATTATTAAGGAAAATAAGGGTTACCTGAACACAAGCTCTGTGGTGCCTGGGCAGTGGGTCTGACAACCGAGATATCTACTAAGGCTGGACAAAGGTATGACTCATGCCCAGGACAGGGACAAGGCAGGACAAAACAGAACAGCACCAGATTTCATCACACTACTCAGAATAGTGTGGCACACAATTTAAAACTTATGAAATATTTACTTCTGGAATTTTCCATTTAATATTTTCAGACCACATATGACCAAGGGTAATTGAAACTGTGAAAAGCAAAACCACAGACAAGTGGGACTGCTGTACACACCAAATCAACCATATTTGAGTTGCTGAAACCATTTACTTATTCCTGCGGCTTAAACATCCAAAGCAAAATATGTCTAAATTAGACGAAAACCCCAAATATGAAAAATCTTACTTTCGAAAAGAGACTGATTAATAAGTGAAATGGACTAAAACTGATGTCAATTTTCCCAAGAGAAACCTAGCAATAGAATTCCTAATTTCCACCTACAATTTACATGAACAAAGGGTTAAAGGTCCTACCAAATTAAAAGAAACGAATCATTTGTTCCACTCAAAGTGATAAGGATGCTAATATTAAGGTGAGCTTAAAACAAAAATTTCAGTAACAGAAACTATTTTATCCTCATTGCATACTGAAATGTATATATAAAATACCTTTAAAAGTATATATTATTTAAACAAAATACAATAACCCAATGCATACTTTTGCTGGAATGAATGTTTCTAAAAGCTGGGCTTAATACAGCCATAGAAAATTTTCACTTTGCAATTTCTTAAGTCAGGGTATGTTCTACTTCTGGCCTGCTACTTCTTTGGTATAATTTTCAAATTCAGACTTTAAAAATATCTTAATAAATAAAATGAGGACTGGCTGACACTCCAGTAGCAATGAGTATACCTAGCACCCAAATCTTGGCTTCTAAATACCATTCTCCAATGAAAAGAACTAGGGCTTCTTGAAGAATGGGATGATTCTAAGGCTGGGGCAAAGAATATACAAGATGAGCCTGGAATATCCTGTACTACCAGAAACCAACCAAGTGCTCAAAACAAAAGGCTGGAGGTATGTCAAAGGGAAATGGAGCCAACCTGAAAGAGTTCCCAAAGGCCAAAGCTGGAACAAGTTGAGTGACAAAATAAATAATGGGTATGGGCAAACCTTGGAGATACTGTGGGCTTGGTTTCAGACCACTGTAACAAAGTGAATATCACAATGAAGCAAGTCACACAAATTTTTGGTTCCACAGTGCATATAAAAGTTATGCTTACATTATTACACTGTAGTCTTCTAAGTGTGCAACAATATTATATCTTAAAAAACAATATATATACCTTAATTAAAAAATACTTTATTGCTAAAAAAACACCAACCATCATCTGAGCCTTCAGTGAGTCGTACTGGTAAAACCAAAGATCATTGATCACATATCACCATAACAAATATTGCAAGAACTATGAAAATGTGACACAGAGACACCGAATGAGCAAATGTCGCTGGGAATTGGCACCAACAGACTTGTACAACACAGTGTTGCCACAAAACTATTTGTAAATAACACAATATCTTTGAAGTACAACAAAGTGCAATAAAATAAGGTATGCCTGTATTGAATCATAACCCAAAGTATACAATAAATATACATGAGTCCACAGTAATACAAATAAATGATTGTATAAATAAATAAATGAGGGGTAAGAGACAAGTCTTACTTTCAGAAAAATTCTAAACAATATATGTAGACGTCCTCCCCTCCAAGAAGTAAAGCTTACCCTGTCCCCCCAATTGTGGACTGGACTTAGTGGCTCACTTCCAAAGAATAGAGTATGGAAGGGGAAAACATTTCAGTGGAGAACGCTTGACAAGCAGTACCCTTAACCAAGTAATCAAGGTTAATATCACCAGTCATGTTCATAGCATGTACCTCCTGATATGCCATGATGAGAAGGGTACTTCACTTCTGTCGTACACTTCCCCCAAACCCAGAACTCCAGTCTCATCGTGAGAAAGACATCAGACACACCCAAACTGAGGGACATTCTACAAAATACCTAACCAATACTGTTCATAAATTTCAAGGTCATTAGAAAACAAAAAACAAGGAACGACTGAGAAGTTGTCAGATTAGAGGAGACTAAGGAAATATAATGACTAAATGCAATGTGGTACCCTGAATTGGATCATGGGACAGAAAAATGACATTAGTGGAAAAACCAGTGACACCCAAATAAAACGTGGAGTTGAGTTAATAGTATGTACCAATGTTGGTTTCTTAGCTTTGACAAATGTACAGTGGTAATGAAAGATGTTAACGTTAGGGAAAACGTGGTAAGAGATATACTGGAATTCTGTACTACTGTTGCAACCTTGCCAGATCTAAAACTATTCCAAAATAAAGTTTATTTAAATAAACAAACGAAAAGCAAGCCATGGCTTCAGTCCAATAAAATTAGAAGTATATAACTTAATAATGGCCTCCACTCCACCAAAATTTTATTTCCTCTTCTCATGCTGTGTGAGTTTTCCTTAGCACTTATCAATAGACTAAAGTTCTTGAAGATTGTTGTTGTTGTTGTTTGTTGCTGTTTGCTCTGTTATGCTCTCTACTGGATCCCCAGCATCCAGAAAAATTTCCAGCACTTAGTAGGCATTCAGTAAATATTTGCTGAGCAAATACCTCTATTACTATTTCATTTTTCTGTACAAGCTGTTAATGTAATTTTTCTCTTCCCACCCTAGCAACAAGCTAACTCATGAAGGACCCCGGTGCACAAAGTAGGATAAAGATGAGAAAAAGCACACAAGTGGCAAAGGGTATAAAACTCACTATGATCTGTAAAGCTCTTTTCCATCAGTTAAAAAGGATGCATCTCGAAAAAAAAAAACTTCTCTTTTGCATACCACATCAAATTTCAAATTCTGTGCCTGATTTTAAAGTCTTCTATGAGCAACACAAGAACAGAAAGAACAAAATTATCAGTTTGTTGCTTGATTATTTACTTTTCTATAAATAACAAGGGTACTTAAGTGGGTCACATTTACATATTTTTTATTAAAATAAAATGTAGTGGCAGGAAATGAAAATGGTACAGCAACTTTGGAAAAGAGTTTGGCAGTTTCTTATAAAGTTAAACATATGACCCAGAAATCCTACTATTAAGTACTTAACCAGGAAAAAATGAAACCTTATGTTTGCACAAAATCTTCTAAGTGTATGTTTATAGTGGCTTTACTCAATAACCACAAAAACTGGAAGTAACCCCAATGTCCAACTGGTAAATGGATAAACAAACTGTTACACTCACACAATGGCACTTTACAGAATAGTATATTAGTCCATAATAAAAAGGAGTGAACTATTGATACACACAAGAAAATGAAAAAATCTAAAATGTAACGTGCTAAGTGAAAAGAAGCTAGACTCAAACAATTCCATTTAGATGACATCTGGAAAAGGCAAAACTATAGGGATAAAGACCAGACCAGTGGTTGCCAGAGGATGAGGGTAGAGGGTGGAGTTGACTTGAAAGAGGGGCCACAGGAAATTTTGGGGAGTGATAGACTGTTCTGTATCATGATTGTGATATTTAAATGAATCTATATTTCTACTAAAACTCAGAACTGTTCACCAAAAAGAAGAGTGAATTTTATCCTATGTAATTTTTAAAATAAGTATATATGGAGCAAATAAAAAAAAGATGGCAATTAAGAAAAATATAGTATATTAACATATAAATAGAAACACTTATTCCAAATAACAATCAACCATCTGTGATCCTTTTCTCCACTTTAAGTCACAAAGATAAGGTAGAATTTTGAAGAGAAGAAAGATGTAATCCTTTAGCATATTACTTCAGTTGTTACATTTGGAACCTATCATTGTGATGGAAATTAACAATAATCTCAGCTCTAAGAATTCAGGAAGTTGTACAAACCAGGAAAGTTTGTTATTAAAATTAATGAAGTACAGGAAACTTGACAGAATAGCTAGGCTGCCTTTGTAATTAAGGGTAAATGATACCTTTGGCACACTGATTTTGTGTTAAGTTTCCCTAAAGCTCTCCTTAACTGGGGACAAGCCCCAACAAACTTATTAAGATGTTAAGAGGAGCACATGCTACTCAAGTATGAGGAAAAACAGGACTAGACCAGGCTGTGATCACTAAAATCTAAAGATCTGTGAGAAGCATGCGATATCTCTTTCTTTAAATTGGGATCTAAATATATTCAAACACTAAGGTAATGCCAATATATACATTAAAATTGTTTTCCAACTGCCATTTTGGAAGGTAAAAAATATATAAATGTAAGTGAATGGTCTGACTCAGATAACCAAACCTACTAGAAGCCATTTGGATCATGAAATAGTTTAAATAAAAACATAATAATAAAGAAAAAAAGAATAATTTCTGGGAAAATAAAATAGGGCCTTAGATATCTGATAATCATAATGCTTTGATGAGCAACATGCCAATAAATTTGCACAGGAGCAACGAACACAGAGGCCAAGAATCTGCCACGTTATTTGCTGAGCCTGATTAAGCCACTCGATTTCTCTGAAACTTAATTTTCTCAATTTTCTTCAATTA